CCCCCCCCCGGGGGGGCCCCCCCCCGGCCCCCCCCCGCCCCCCCCCCCCGGGCCCCCCGACTTTCGGCCGGCGGCTGCGCGCTGCGCCTCTCGGCGCCCCCCGCCGACTCTCCCGCTCCGATGGTTTGCCCGCTGAATCTCGCCCTTACCGGGACCGCGCGTGGGCTCGCTTTCGTCTGAGAACGAGCTGCTCACGTGCGGGCTCCTCGACGCGGCCCCCTTCTCCTCCACGGCTGGACTACAGCTGGCTATCGACAGCCTTAATCTGTCGCCAGCGGCATTGGAGGTGAAGGAGCCCGATCTCCTCCCGGTGGGGGGCCTCGCCGCCGCGGCCGCGCTGGCGGGGGATGCTGCTCATGCGCAGCGCGGGGCGACTCGCCGAGCCAGCGCCGCGGCGCCTGCGGCGAGGCCGGCGGCGGCTGCTCGCGCGGCCCTCGCGCCATGCCTCGCCCCGCTGGCTTGCACCCCGCTTTCCGCCCTGGAGGTTGAGGGGGACGCGCCGTGGACCGTGGTCGCCTACATCTCCGGCATGCTCGGCCCCTGCCTTCGTGCCTTGGGGTCGCAGGTGCAGCTCGGCGCCCACCTTCTCGCCAGCGGCTGCATCTCCCCCGAGTGCTGACCCGCAACTGCTGGCGAGCTACTTTAAGGACTACGTGCTCGCGCTGGAGGGCGCGCTGCCCCCTTCGCTCTGCGCCCCCTACGCTTGTGGGCCGCAGTGGTTGGAGGAGGCGCGCGATGCGGCGACCTCGTCTCCGGAGGCTGCCAACGCCGTCCAGGTGATGCCCGTAAAAAACTCAGGCAATGCCCACCCATTCCCGTGCAGATCAAACTGCGCCATGCTGTGCAAGGTGACTCTGTCGATCGAGTGGGCCAGCGACTCGGGAGCTCGCTGAGCCATCATCATCAGAAAGGCCTGTGGCCCCTCGCACCTCGGGAACGGGTGAGACTCCAGCGTCGTTGTACCGTCCTCGTCTGTTTTGCTCTTCTGAGCGTTGGCTTCCAGGAGGCTCGCGATCGCCGCGGTGCTCGGGTTGCCGCCGGTGAAGGCCGGCGTGACCGAGGTGTAGCGTCGCTGGAAGCCCATCACCAGCCATGGCATTAGCCTCTCTCGTGGGATTGTGGCGTATCCGTCGTCTCCGTCTGTCCAGTCACACCAATAGGTTGCGTCGTACACGCCGCCCGAGGTCATCGGAGCTCGGTAGGCGGGTACGCCATCGATGGCGGTCTCGTCCAGCATCGAAGTCGATTTTATCGGCCTCCTGCTAGCGGAGAGGCTACGGCGGGAGAGAGGGGCTGGGGCGACGGCCAGGCTGCCGTCGGCCGCCGCTCGGTTTGGATGGAACGTTTCGGTTCATTCATCTACCGAGCTTGGATCAGTTGGAGCTAGGCTCTCAGCTGTGCCCCTCTTCTCCTCCGCCTCTGCGCCTGTTAGACACTTCTCTATCTGGAGGATAACACGGAATATAAGCGCAGCGCCAGGCCCAAGCCGACGCCATCTCACACAAGCTCAAGGCTTCTCGCGCTGCCGCGGCGAAGCGCAAGGCCTCCGCGATGACCGGCGAGGAGAAGGCGGCTGCCGACCGGCGCAACGCGGTCAAGCGCAACGAGGCCAAGCGTGCGAAGCGAGCTGCCGCCAAACAACAAGCAGACGCAGCACCAGCGCAGCCAGTGGCATCGCCGTCAGCGGCGACAGTCAGTGCCTCAGTCGCCGAGGCGTCGGTCGAAAGCGAGGACGGCAGCGAGGACGATGACGTCGGCGAGCCCGACCTCGATGAGCTCAACGACATGCTCGAGGCGGACGGCCAGGACGCGATTGACATTGACGAGTACGATGCGTTCCGCGACTGGTGCGACGGGCGACTTGAGATGGCACAGAGTCGTACAACGACTGGATGAACGATCACGAAGGCGGCGAGCGCTTCCACGCCGAGCGCAAGATAGACGACTTCTTTAGCAGCGGTCGCTTCTGCGAGGATGCTCAGCCCGCCCAGCAGGTGCGCGCTGCAGCTAGCGCGCCACCGCCGCCGCCGCCACCTGCTGGCTCTCCTGTCGCTACCCAGGAGCCAGAAGACTGGCTCGCGCTCCACCCTCTTGCCAACTACAGCAGCCAGCTCGGCGATTGGCAACCATCCGGCGGCGACCACAACGCGTGGGGCTCGCTTCCGGAGCCCGACGATGAAGAGCCAGCCGAGCAGCAAGCTGCGCAGGCAACTGATGAGCCAACCAATGAGCCGTCAGCGCTGAAGCCTGCCCATGTGCCGACCTCTCGCGCCATGTTCTTTCACTGCGGCAGCTTCACGACTGAGGAGCCGGAGTCAGTCCCACCAGCCGAGCCACGGCCGCTGCCGAGCGCCCGCGCCGCCTTCTATCACCCGAGCAGCTTCACCGCCGAGCAACGCCTCAACGCTCATACCGCGAGCATGCCTCCCGGCGAGGCGGCGCACCATCGCGCCCTCGCGCCCGCCGAGGTACGCGGTGCTGACGGCCGTGTGGTCACGATGGCCTTCGATCCCGAAGGCGAGGTCGCGTACTACCATGAGCCACACGAGGCGGGGCGGCCCAACTGACTACCAAATCATCTGCCGAGCTCAACGTCTCTACCTGTGGCGCGGACCGACGCAACTGCGGAGGTGTTAATCGCTGTCGCCAACAGCCAGGCGGAGGGCAACCTCGTTAGGAGGCTAGAGATCTCCCTTCCACCGAAGGGAGGATCGCCCTGCCACGGTTACGCGAGCGACGCCAGCTGCGAGA